CAATAACCTGAGGTGCAGCATTACTGTTGCCATGCAAATGCCATAAGTGACTCTTGTCTTGACTCCAAAGTGACTCTTGTGAAGACAGAAAGCTCCATTTTGGTTGAAATGGGTTACAGACAAGTATATACCTCAGATGTTGGTGTTTCTATACAAGGTTACTCCATTCTACCCAGAGCAATGCATTCTTGCTCTTTGGAAGTGCATTGCTGGATACCTTTTAAGAATACCTTTTAAGGGGATACATTTTTTTCTTCAAAAAAGATATGTCTTATCAGGGCAGTGTCTGATATGAATACGTGAAAACTACAGTAAACAAAAAGGAATGAAATTTTAAAAGGAAAGATTGACATTTAAATGGCTGATTCCTTTTATGAACAAATAGAGCTAAGTCCCAGCTCACATTTACATTTGTTGAGGTTGTTAATCACAGGTGTCTTGTGATGTACTGGAAACCTTCTCCGATTGTGTTGTCAGTCTAAGAAAGAATACAAAATCTGGAATTGAAGTGTAAGCCTGAGATAGAGTGACTGTGTATTTTCACTGGAAACAAAGTGAGAAGAGATGCTTAGCTTAGGTGAAGCACCCAGTTTCTGAGTTGCTATAGATTGGTGTAACAAAAATCCCAGGTAAAAGGTGCTGAAGGGGCTGAACTGAAAGTTTTGAAAATGTAGTTTTGCTTTCACTTGAATCAACCTCAATTAGCTATTTCCAAATGTTGCCTTATATTGACAACAAGGAAAAAGGCGTGGCTGACAAATTATAAAAAACAAGTTCAGGTAAATGGTTATGCTAAGTCCAGGTCAGATGTATGTTCTGCCAGCTCTTTAGGGTTGTAAGACCATAAGTGGCATTGCAGTTTTTGAAAATAATAAAAGAGGATCAGGCCACTCATTACTCTCTCTATATTTAATACTATTACTGTAAAAATATGCACATCTTACAAAATAACCTAAAAGTCTGTCTTGCATTTCAGGAGTTGGAGATTATCTTGTGCTTGATGTTTGCCTGGGCCAATAAAAATTTTTAGCAGACTGATGAGTTGGAAAACCATTGGAAAACCAAAAGTACAATGAAAATGCAGCTTATGTATTTTTTTCCACAGCCTTAATAATGTTGTTATTAATATATTCAAATTAGTGTCGAAACATTCCCTGTCCCTGGATCTGAGAAAGCACTTTAGGACACAATGTCTCAAAGGCTGTGAAATTTTGAAGGCATGCCATTTGTATGAATGCCATCTTTATATTTTTCTCTGTGTAGAAGATAGTGGCGAATTACGGCATTTTGCTACAGCAGATGATAGGAGATAGAACAGTTTTGAATTAGTTTGATTTGTACTGTGAATAGAATAGAAAAAATTATTTCAGCGGGAGCTGGATCAGATCAAATGGCTCTGGCTTTCCCTCTTCTTTCCCCATTCAGATGTCTCCTCATCTTCAGACGTCTTCTTCTGATGTCTCTTGGATCAGTGCATAGTTTTATGATATGGTAGCAGCAGGATGTCAGTGGGGATATGGAAACAGAGTTCACTCCATTTTTCAGTTCCTGGCTGGTCTGCAATGCCTTTATCTCCAGGGGACTTTTAAAGGCAGTCCAATCTGTAATGTCATGGACATGGATTCATTCTTCCACTGCCAAAGGGCAGTAGTGCTAGAACATTAAAAACCCAGTGAAGAAAAGCTGTTCAATTCCTGGCATTTCTCAGGAGAAGCCAAGTGTATACTAAGGAAATTGTAAGAGGCAATGTAGTTGCTGGAGGACATAGACTTACCTTTCCAAAAAACAGTCTCAGGCAATGTCAGTTGACAGGTTCTCTGAGTTTGCTACAGGAGGGGGAGTTCTTGGAATACAAATTCAAGGATCGATTTGAGTGACCCTAGGTTAGAATAGCTCAGAAATTGTTTGTGCTTACTGAAACTGTGCCTGAAAAATTCCCTTATTTCCAATAAATTACTGTACAAGGCCTGGTTTAATGGTCAGCTGGTATAAAGCATTATTATTGCAGTTAAAAACAACATATTGCTTTTCAGTGTTAGAAAAATAACCCCCCATTGCTTCCTTAGCTCATTTTTAATCTTTGGTGAAGAGCACCTGATTGATAGGAATGTAATGATAATCCAATTCCTCCACTTAACGAGCCAAAGAGAACATTCAGCTAAATCAGCCTGTGTTACTGACACCCAGAGAATGGGCTGGAATGCCTGCCAGAAGTTATTGAGCTGGAGAGAATTTTAAATGAATGAATTGGGCATGACTCATGTCTTTCCATAGAGCAACTGTGGGCGCTGGCTGCTGAAGTACTTGAGAAATCAACAAGGGCCCCTTTTGACGGAGCCAGGGGGAGAATTTCATAACTGTCTTGGATCTGGAGTTCTGCTATGCATCTGGTATAATAATACTGTACAACAGCAAAGATTATTTAAAGACAAACAGCTTCAGTTTGTAAATAACTCAAATACCAACAAACTTGGGTGGTGAAGGGTGGCAGAGTGTTAATTGGTCTGGAAGCAGTATAAATACTTTATGCATTTATCTCACTTACAAATGTTCACTGGTGATATGTTATCAGTAATTTACGATGTGCCATGACAAAAGCTTACATTTCTGACAAAAATAGCAATTAGTTAGAGGAATGAGGATTCTCCTTGAATGCTTTCAGTAAGTTGTAGGGGGGATTTCTTTCCTTCCATGCATGAAATGATAGTAAAAAGCATTCAAATTTGGCAGTTTACGCTGTTGCCTAAATCTGGTCTGGATTTATGCTATTCTAAAGACATTATGCTTGCTTATATAAAGATATTACTATAAACTATCTGCATGTTTAGTGCATACATTAATATGTAATCATGGTGATAAATACAAAAGAAACTAATCAGTTGGCTCATGCACTTTCTTAACCCTTGATGCAGACATTGTTGCTTATTTGGTCTTGTTTTCTTCACATCACAGACCTGGTAGTTGTTACCAAAGGATGTTTTCTGATGGGGGAGTAAAATGTACATCAAAACTATTAAGCACTACCCCTAGGATGCCTCTCAGGCACAGGGAAGCAAAAAAAGTCCAATTTGTTACTGCATCACACTGCAGATAGGTACTCCACTATGTCTTCACTTTCATCCTCAGGGAAAAGGAGTTGATGACTAGGAGTGAGAAAAGTCAAATGCTTTCTGAAGCTGGTGAGTGCTACGGATACATAAGACCCCTGTGATTTAAGTGGTTTGAGAGCTGGAATAGAAATACCATACTATCTAGGCATCTCTGACACATTTTGATTTTCCTGCCAGTGTCAACTCTCTATTGCACAAGTGGAGTGGTTTTAGTGTCATGTCTTTAAGTGCATTTTACTTGTGTGATTCAGTGAACTTCAGTAGTCTTTGTTTTGAAAAAGAAGAGTTTAATTAATTCTTGATGATTTAGAAGATTCTGAATTCAGAGAGAACTGCAAAACAGTGATGTTAAATTATGGTTGTATTCCTATCACTAAGAGACAGTGTTGATGAAGATTCAAGTCAAAAGCAATTCAATTCCATACATTTCTTCTCGGTAAGAGAGCTGAAGAATAGAGTAACAAACTTTGTAAACAGCCATACATTCAAAGATGGTTGAAGCCAACCAAAAGGCATTACTCAATGGGACCAGTAGATTAAAAACACTTCATCAGATGGTACCTTGTAAGCAACATGATGTCAGAGCAGTGAGTCTAATAAGGGATATTTGCAGACTGATGTCAGAAAAACAGTGATACATAGAAAATATAGGAGCTCTTTGAAGAAGGAAAGCATCTCCAGAGATAAGGTCCCAATGCGATCAGGAGAAGGAGGGAGTGTACAAACATGATGGCATGAGATTGCCATTTATGATGTTTACTTATCATCTAGTGCAAGCAGGCAACCTGTTTGGGGTGATAAAATATTGGGGATAATTATAAAAGACAGAAAGCAGACTTCTTTCCTACTCTGGAAGGAGTGGTATGATTCTAGGGCACTTTTGTATCTCTGTAGGCTTACTGTGCGAGGTAACTAAAGTCCCAAGTGATGGTGTTCATTGCCTGTGGCTCTGGGAAGGAAAGTGATTGGAATGATACTTCCACCAGGGAAGTATGAAGTAGGATTGTTTGGATCTGCTGGGTAATCCTTGGTGACTCTTTAGAAACACTGAAACTGAAATGGAACAATGTCACTTAACATTAAAGGGCAAGTAAATCTTATCCTCCAAGTAAAAGGGCAGAATTTGGTCAGTATGCCCAGTCAATGGAAACACAGACTGAATTCACTGATCAGTTACGGAAACAGTTCTGATTTTAGACAGATACTCTATTTTGATAGGGATATATTTTAGACTCTTACTGAAACCTCTTACTCATGACCTGCATAATAATTCAGTCATACAATCTCCCATACTCACTGTAACGTTTTCCATTAGACCCAGAAGAAATAGATCACACACAAATGCCTGCAGATCATATTGGGAATAATAATTGTAATGGATTTATTAAATTATTATTATTATTTTTTCCCCTGGATTTTTTCTCATTCCAAGAACTGAAGCTGTTTCTTTAGTTCTTAGAGAGTGGGTGGCTTGCTTGTTTTGAGGGTGAAGAAAATATTGCAGCGATGCTGTGCTACAGCAGTGTGAATTTCTGGGCTTTCCTCTTCTGGAACCATGATTGACTTGGGGAATTCTGCTTTTCTTTTGTGAAACTGCTGTTATCTCCCAACCCCTGTCCTCAGACAGGTGAGCTGTAATATCTTTGGCAGTGAATAAAAATGATCCATGGTTAACAAATAGGAAAATAACTTTCAATCTGCGGAGATGCAACTAACAGTTGAAAAATCATCACAACAAATTATATAATTTTTCAGTTAAAATAATTAGTAAATTTATTTTGCTTCTGGAAAAAAAAACAAACCTCCCTTAGATCCTCTCTTTCAAAGAATTTATTTTTATTTTTATTTTTATTTTTATTTTTATTTTTATTTTTATTTTTTTTTGTGCAGGAACACAGTGTATGATAGATGATATAAGAGATGGCCAATTCCTTTCGACCACTTTTGAACAGTAAATTTTGGTTCCCAAACCTGCTCAGATGTGGAAGCTCTGAGACACAGAAAAGCCTTACATGGTTCATGGACCTGGACTGTCTGCTGGAAGAGCTGCCAGGAATGATAAAAATGATAATAAATTTGCTTTTACTGCTCGTCTCTGTTGTAGTAAATTTGTCCCGTATCTTTACACAAAAATGTGTACTGACCCTTTTTACAAACCCCTAAGGAGAAATTTGTGCACAAAAGTAACATTCTCTTTCTCTTCACTTCTGTTTGTGGTGTCTTTTTATAATTTGTGGAAGGTGTCCAACAGGTTGGAAAATGCATTGGAAATCTAATCCAGACATGTCAGTGCAACACTGGTGTTAGTTTAAACAAAAACTAAGCAAGTTTTCCCCTTTGCAAAGCAATCTCTCCAAAAATACTTCTCTGATTCAGAGATTTATTTATTTTTGGTCCTGACTTAACTTCTTCTGTATGAGAAAACAAGGTTATATTTACATGGCATAATACTTGCACTTATTCACACAAAAATATTTTATATTTCTCTAACATAAGGAGAAGGTTTGATCAGAAGTGTAATAATTTCTAACATGTTTGGCCCAAATCTTTGACAGTTTATAATGAAGTTAGCACAATAACACTTGTTTCTAGTAGTGCAAAATTTGAACTGTAGTGGATGAACCATGTCCAGTGGCAAAGAGAATGTTATCATTTCACTATTAATTTAATTTAATTTAATTTAATTTTAGTTAGCCAGTTATAAAGAGTATGCGGTACTTTTGGAGAACTGTTTTGTGATTTTTTCCAGGAATTATTATAACTATTATATTAGTGTGTGTGTGATACATTTTCCTCAGAACTTCTTGCTCTTTGAGAATTTTTTTCATAATTTGACATAAATTGACTTTTTTTTTTTTTTTTTTTTAAAAATGAATACAAAATTCCCTCAAGATTAGTTAATATAACTGTCTTGAGTCACAAAACTCAGACCAAACTTCAATTTTTGGAGAGTTTAGGTTCCATTATAGGTTTTAGTAAATATAAGGTAGAATATGTCATCCACAGAAAATGCTGGATTTGGATTAAGAAAAATATTCATAATCTATGGCATAATTTTACAAAAAAATACATGTTCACATGCATACAATATTATATTTATATTGACTGATTTCAGTTTGTGTGGTCCGGCATGGCTGTATATGTTGAATATATGTTAAAAGAATTTAACTGACTCATTGAGAATCGATTGTGAGGCATTGGAACAGGCTGCCCAGGGAGGTGGTGGAGTCACCATCCCTGGAAGTCTTCAAAAGACGTTTAGATGTAGAGCTTAGGGATATGGTTTAGTGGGGACTGTTCGTGTTAGGTTAGAGGTTGGACTCGATGATCTTGAGCTCTCTTCCAACCTAGAAATTCTGTGTGATTCTGTGTGATTCTGTGTGATTCAAAGTGGAGCGCTGTCCCCCCCAGGTCTGTCAGTGACACCATCATACATGTCATACAATGGACTTGAAGTCCAAACTGATTTTTCCCTCTACTTTTCTTGAAGATATGTGTATTTAAAAGAGGAAAAACAGCAACAACAAAACCAACATCATTTTTTTTTTTTCTCCCCCAGAATGTATTCCTGTTAAATGAAAATGCTGAGTATATTTTATTGCTGAAAAAAAGAGAAGTGGATTGGTAGGATGAAGCTACTGGTCAAGTGTTTATCTAAAAAAAAAAAAAAAGAAAAAAAAGAGCATAGCGTTTCCTCACTGAAACAGAAGTTTGGATTTGTGGGTTGGGATAAGGTATCATTTGCTGCAATTGAGGCCCCACATGCAACACACCTTCCCACTCAGGGAGAGCAAATGAGCAACTGAAATATTACCTCACTTAGCAATGAGACAGTATTTTGCAGTTAAGAATGTGTAAATGTTAACTAATGGGTCCTTTCAGGAAGGGTTTCATGACATTATCAAACCTTGGGAAGGAGCTCATGCTAGAGGCAAGCTGCAGAAGTGCCCTGTGTGCCCTCTGCTCACAAAACAGACACCTTTGCTTTCCAAGCTTAGCCCTACTGGTGAGCAGCACAGTCCTTCACCACTGAGGCCAAGGAGCACTTAGGCTGTGCAGCCCTTCATGGGAAATACCCACAGTGCCAGCTCCTTGTGAGCTCAGGAGCCTTAAATCTATTGCCCTTGGTATTTTAATTCACCGCCAAGGAACAGCAACCTACTGAAATTGAAGTGAAGGAGGGTTTTGGTCCATGGTTTGTGTTTCTAGAGCAAGTACTCCCTAAATACTTCCTCAGCAGAGGGGTCACAGAGTTAATGAGCACAGAGACTGAGCTTAACTGCTCTATCTTGAGGTGATCCTGTAAGAGCAGGGTTGCAAAACACTGTGGGGAAGCCTATGATCCCCCATGCCTTCCTGACTGTAGTCACATGGAGAGCTTCCTCCTCTGGGTTTTTCTTTGTCACATCTACCACAACACTTCACTGAAAAGATGAGAAAATGTATCTTTAAAAAGCAGCCATGCTTCTGGCATTACTACAGTCACAAGGTCAGGCAGCTTAGTCATTAGAGAAGATTATTTTATTTTGTGATACTCCTCTAGCCAGCAAAAAGTGCTGTTAGCTTGCATGCACCCATTCATATAATATGGAAAGGTCCAGATACACATTCAATGGAAAATGTGAATAAGCAAAATATTTGTAATGAGGTGGTTTTAGTATTCGTGCCAAGACAAATCAGAGAAGGGAAGAAACACACGTCTTGAGAGTATTTCCTCTCATGACAAAGATGTGACCATATGAGCACATGGTTTGAAATAGGAACAAGCACATCTGAACAAACAGTGAATACCTTGCACCTTCATCCATTATTAGAGTTCAGGAGGTACCAGTACAGCAAGTTTTTTCCTGTATTTACCCCCAGAAATCTGTCCAGATACGACCATAGGTTATTTGTCCCAATTTCTTTTTTCATTCTTCCTGACCTGAAGTGGCTGTTCTTTTGAGTTTGTGAAGCAAGGTTGCAGGAACCTTTACCTGGACCTAAATGAGGAAAATGAAGATTCAAGCTCCTGATCTGGTGAGTATGAGGTGAATATTGTTTTAAGCAGTCAGGGAGGTGCTGAGCTTGGATGAATGAAATCAATGGTCACTTGTCTTAACCAATTACCTATTATTTTATTTTTTTCATTGTGGAAATGCCACCTTTTCAATATTCAGTGTTGCTGCAGAAAAAAAATCTGTTCTGATGAATCACCATTCTATGAAAAAAAGTTTCCCTGCTAAGTACGCCGCCAGCAGTACTACCATTACCACAAATTACTTTCTTTTAGAGTTCAATCTGGTTCCTGTAGAAGCCAGTGGAAAAACATCTGATTTCAATGAACATTGGTCAGGATTAGGCGGCTACTGTATCATAGCTCTTAGGAGTGTTCTGAAACTAGCACTGTAGTAGCTAGCTCCCAAAAGTCACTGACAGGAAGAAACCCCATCCCTATTTTAGAATCATGGCTGACAAATTCAAGCATAAAATCAGTACCACACCTAGATCTCTATGTGCTTTTTTTTCTGTCTTATCTGCACACTAAATTTTTTTATCTTTCCTTCTCTTATCTCCATCCAGTCTAATGCTCCTTGTTGTCACTGTGACATTGGTATTGCTGGCTCTGTACCAGATTGCTTCCTTTCAAAATATTACAGGGATGATATGGGGAATCCTTTCTTGATACTCCTCTTTTTTTTTTTTTTTTTATTTTTTCTTTTCTCTAATAAAACAAACAAACAAAAAACATTGTTGTCTTTTTCGTCTGTGACTTTGTTTCTTTCCTTTAGCTGTTCCTTCCCCCCCCCCCAGTTATTTTACCACAGTTTAGAGACAGTCTTATAAAATCTATTTTAGTTTTCTGATGTCCAGATATTCCATTCCTGTCTGTCCCTTCCACTTTCTTCATTTCACATCTCACAACAAAAATGTGCATTAATAGTTCAAGCCTGTATGTATAACAGAGGTCCTTGAATCTCTGTGAAATATAGCATCATGCTACAATCAATGTGAAATATAATTTGATGTCCTCTGATCTAGCAGTTAAAATTGCTGTTGTGGAACAAGGAAGCACAGGTGACCTACATGGAGCAGAACAGAGGAGACAAGGGGAGAGACGAGTGATGCAAACGTGAAGAGTTTAGAAGAACAGAGACCTGTGGATAGGACTGCAGGTGACTGGGGAGGAGTAGGGAGCTGAAGAAGAGAACAAAAAGAATTAGAAAATAAAGGTACCAAACCAAAGAGAAGTAATAGTAAGGGAAGAAGGATAAATTTGAAGGGAGTGAAGGCTCAGTAGAGCAGCTTCCACCTTTGCGTTGCTTCCTGGAGATTTAAGAGCAAAGATCAAGGATAGCAGATATTGCAAATTTAGGACAGGGTGCATAATTGAGAAGCAAGATGGCACTGTTTTTAAATGTCTGGGTTATTTTATTTTAAGACTCATGAACACCGCACGTTGCATTTCCTGAGTCTCTTGACATTTCTCCCCTCCCCTCCCCTCCCTTCCCTATAAAACCACGATTCCTTCTTTCATAAAACCGTGAGTGCTAGGGCAGAAATCTTTCTCCTTCATTTGGAGAATATGTGAAATGCAAGATGCAAAAAAGGTTCATTATGAGTAGATCTTGGGTGAGGAAAACCATCTAAAGATCCCAGCTGTCTTTCAGCTGACCAAGGTGAAAGGACATCCTGGCATTACAGGAGATAAATTTGAAACTCTCCTCTCTCCATTGCCTGCAAAAAGGCTCACCCTGATGACTGTGTAGTGCCCTTTGGTTGCCAAGGCACCTGATCAGTACACAGGCTCTCATCTGAGGGCAATCTACTAACCCACACACGATACTCACTTATCTATTCCTTTTCACCTTCAGTCTTATGTTCAGGCAAAGCCCCCTCTGGAGACAGGTACAGTCCACTTCTGAGTCCTTTTAGCTGCCCAATCCTCCATGATGCACTTTTCCTTCAGCTGCAGAAATGGGGTGTCTTAGGTAAATATATTGTATACTGAGTTGAATTTCAGAAGAAAATGGGAGAAGAGTGCAGAGAACTTCTGATTGCTACCAAATGAATGGTAAGCAGCAGAGGACAGACAGTTCCTCTCTGTGGTGATGCTCCTGGAAAACATAAGGGACAAGTATTTTTTGAGAAAGAGTAAGAACAATCTATGCTCTAAAAGTTAGAGAAAGCGTTTCCAGGGATCTTCCAGAAACAACAGAAATCTCCTGGTTTTGGTTACTCATCTGTCATCATTCTCTGCACCTATGGGGATTGCTTCTATTGTACTCTGAGAAACTGAAAAAATGACAAGTTCCCTGCCTCTTGTGTAACACAATCTCTTAGTACTGCCTTATAAAGAAATGAATAATTGGCATTTATTCCGTGTACATTGGGCGAGTAGCCCAGTTCTATTGCCTGCAGGATGATCTTACCTGGGAGAGTTTCAGAGAGCTCAGGTTATTTCTAAACAGTCACCCGGGTATGAAGCCTGGCTCTCTGCCAGGGCTGAGCAATCATGGCTGCAGACAAGGAATCTCTCCTGTATAATCCTGAACCCAGGGTTATGATATGTGTGTAGGCAAAGCAGTGCGAGGGACCTGGCCACAAGTTTGTAAAGCAGGATCAGCCATTGCAGGGCAGGGGGTGTTAAATCCCAGCAGTTGTCTCATGTCTGTCAGTGGGGGCTGCTGCACCAGCTGCAATGCCTCCTGCTCCGCGTTCTGCTCGTTCCTGCAGGGGATGACATAGGCACTCTGCAAAACAAATAGCAATTTGTTAGAGCCTGATGACAAATTCACATGTTGGCTATGAGTGCACATGTAAAAGGCAGAAAAATATACTTCCAGCTGAACAATCTCACTGCACCTTCTATTGGCTTGAGTTGGCAAAAGCTGCCTTATATCTCATCTCATAGAGCTGTTTCCTAGGACCCTTGCTGTGTTTGTTCTGTCCCCATACAGGGAAACAATTAAATGCCATCAGCTGGGTAAAGAAATTAATTGCATGGGTGATTCATACCTTCATCAGACTATCTAATGGCCTCACAACACACGAGTAGCTTTGTGTAGACTCTATCAGTGGGTGTAGGTGCAATAAATCTGACAAACAGTGATAGTTTTAAAGAGCTTCTTAGAGTCAAAAAGAAAATAAACTCTCCTCTCATTGAATGTATTTCAAGATTGACCTGTAAAGCCCTTCCAGGTGGTATATAGCTTGCTGAATCTGCATTTTCCGTCTTTGGGAGCAAAGTCAGATTATTCTCACTGTGATGAGCTTTTACTGCTTTCCCAGATCAGACCTGGAGAATGTCTGCTTCTGTAGTGGTAGATGTGTGTCCCAAAGGGACAAGCACTAGTCTTTTAGAATTGAACTTCTGCCAACCATTTTCACTCTTTAGCAGAACTGTTCTGGAAACACTCATCTTACTCATTTTATTTTTCAGTAAAATCAAAACACACTACAAAATCCCATGTATTTTGATGAAACTTCAGCATTTTTGAGGGAAAATTTTCTGACATTTCTGAAATAAGATGCTTCACTTTTATATCAAATTTTATGTCAGTACATCCAAGAAACATTGCCTCATGGTATCAGTAATTCCTACAGATGTTTTACTTGAATTCTCTTCTCAGTTGCATTTCCCCTCTAAGTCAAGAAGGTATTACTAGCCACTACACAGAGGTAGTAAGATGTGTTGTGTTACAACGACATGGACAAAATAATTCATGGCACCTTCTCAGGTGATTTACGTCATCTTTGTAGAGAATCTGTATCTTGTGCTAATCCTGCTAAGCAAGGATTTTCAGTGACTATTTGAAAGATATATAAATCTATATATTTTCCAAAATCAATATTCTTGCACAGGAAAAAAAAAAAAGAAACAAACAAACAAAAAAAACCAACAACATAGAATTCTCTGACTTTTCATATGAACAGGTTGCCATTTTCATTTGCTATGGAAAACTTTTATCAAGCAAGAGGTAAACACACATTTCTTTCTTATTTCTTTTTCCAGGAAATTCATTTTTGCAAAAAAATATTTCCACTTTTAATTCTTCTCTTAATTGGACGTGTATTTTCTTTTCTCAATGTGAAGTTGTGTGTGGGAGAGATGTACCTTTGGAGGCTGCTATATCTTTTTTTTTTTTTTTTTTTTTTTTTTTAATGTTTCAGAGAAAGATGATTAGTATAAATATGAAAGGCAATCTCAAATGCTGCTACAGTTATACCTCTGGGATTTCCAAACCTGAAAGTTGGTAGTTGGTGCAAAATGTGTGAAAATAGTTGTTTAAGAGTGGCAGCTGAAGGGAACAAATTACACTAATTCACTGATAAGTAGCTGGTTCCCTATTGGTTTTTGGGTGATTTGCCATTGATTTGTGAATTTGTATGTGATTTGGAGCGTTCCTAATTAAGAGGCTGCATCTCTTTTTAATTTTTTCTTGACAGGAGAGGTCAGTTGACTTGACTTTATTTTATTTGAGTGACTGGCTTTACTGCAATGACTGCAATGGGGATTTTCCATGACATGATGTGGATTTTGTCCTCCATCAGCTTTGAGAGTGCTCCTGTTCAGGGAATCTATTTTCAAGAATTTTCTTCAGAAAATACATGTACTTGATTTGTAGAAGATGGAATGTTAACTGTTGTCCTAACCATTAAAAACTACTTTGGATGTTGCACGGGTGTTTAGGGAACTTGCAATTTACAAATTTAGTAAAACTAGTAAACTCAATAATATTGTAAAGGTAACCAACAAATATGTTTCTGGTGGAAATGTGTTTTTGAGGAAATAAATATTAACCATCTCTTACATAAAATGTTAACTTCTGTGACTATGTCAAGGGAAAGGTCCTACTTAAACTAGAATCATGCTTCTATTCCAAACAGATTAATTCAGGAATGAAAAGAAGAAAAAATGAACTTTTTTGAATGGACATTTGATTTCTTTTTCAAATAACCTTTTTACTTTCCAAAGTCCCTTTAGTTATAGCTCTACTGGTTTTGCATAAGAAATACAATGATGACAGAAGTCCCCTCAAAACATGAAAAAGCAAGTACATAGAGTAACAAGAGCTGCAAAAGTCTGTGTCAGTGTACTATACAGTTTTTCTTCTGTACAGGACAAGACTTCAATAAATTCCTTATTAGCAGTCAGTAGTCTGGTGGTCTGATTTTGAAGCCATAAGCATGGTAATCTCTAAAGGCTTATTACCCCTTTAGTATAAATCTGTTGAAAATGTATCCATGTTGCCCCAAAATGCTTTAGCAGCTCTCTGAGTGAGTGATATCCATTTAAGCAGGCTATCACATTATATGACATACTCTTTAGTTTGATCTACTGAAAATAGATTAACTGTGTTCTTTTATTCATTGTGCTGGATGCACAACAAACCAGCTTACTTGGGTATTCATTTAATGTGTCTCCATTGAATAGGATTTTGTCTGTTGGAAGGAAGATCTCCTGCTTTAAGTGTACTGGTTGATTTCTTTAACAGCTATTCAGATTGCTGGTCTCCAACATCTAAAGTTAAGTTTTCTATTCTATCTTTAATAGGACTCAGTAGAAAAGGGTGAGAGATGGGGGGGAACCTCCATCGCTTAATTAGAACAGATGGATTTTGCATTTGACTATGAATCAACTTTATCCAGATATGACAAAAAATAGAGTTTATGGTCTGGGGGAAACTTCAATATTTGGAAATTTTATTCCACATGTATTTGGAAGACAGTTGAAATAAAGACACTTTTGATGGAGGCACTTTCAATGCTGGTGACCAATGTTGTTTGAGGTTGGCTCCTTACATTGCATTTGATTGTAGCAATATTGAATGAAATCTTGCCCTTTTCACTTCTGCTCTAAACAATGCAAAAAATTGGACAGGATGAAGAATCAGCTGCCCAGGGATTTTAACTCTGTCTTGTGTTTGAAAGGGGCTGCCTGAATACTGTAACCTGCAAACCTCAGCAGAACCCTTGGAAGCCTCAAGCCTTCCAGTCATAGGCTGAATTTGGAGAGGTCTTTCTGTGATGTGTTTTGGGTCAGCCAGTCACCATTTCCCTAAGAAATTCCTTTAGAATATGCAAAATTCCTTTTTTGCTTACTCAACCTCTAGCAAAATGATGTGGGAGTTTAGTAGAGTTGTGGGGAAGGTGGGGGGAGAAAATGAAGAAACTTACACAAATGTTTTCTTGCTCTTTTGCATCCACTTGTTGGGGATAGACAGCTTTATTTTATTATTATTTTCCTGGTTTCCATTTTTTTTTGTTTTTATTTTCTCCTGATATAGTTTTTATTTTCTGCTGATATAAAGTCTCATTACTCAAGTGTTTCAGTCTTTTTATTTTTTATTTATTTATTTATTCAGGCAGTGAGGCAGAAACAGTCTGGATAAGGATCTAATTTTTGAGCTGTTTATCTGAAGCAAGGCTGGGTGCCTGCCCATCACTGGCTGCAAAGCATGTAAATGGCAGGTCTGTTCTCTGCCTTTGCCTCCTTGCTGCTTCTGTTTGATTAACTCAGCAGCAGTTGGGCATTAGCTGGATGAAACCAGCACTTCAAATGAACATGTTTATTGAGAAACATAGGGTGAATAAAGAATTAAATTCTGAAGCTAAAAGGAATTGTGGTTTTCCTGAAGTGTTGGATAATTGTTGAGTAAAATACAAAATAAAACAAAACAATCACAAAAAGATGGCTTCTATGGTATCTATTCTATATTAACACTTTAGGGACTGAGATTCTTATAGGTGGTCATTAGCCATGTCTCTGGGAAAAGAAACAATTACCAAGGAACATTTAGATAGGCATTGTGGGGACTCAAACCAGGCACAGCAGATTGTTTAGACTGGGTGAACAGGGCTGCCCTGCTCTCTCTGCCTTGGCAGAAATGCAAAACTCTCCTAGAGGAGGAGGATTCTTATTTAGGTTGCACTTTGTACATAGCTTTTTAGTAACGGTACTGGCAGCTTTCCTTTCCGCTGTTGTCCTTTTAAAGATCCATCAATAGAGACTCTTTCAGGGAATAACTCAGCCATGCATGACTGCTCCCAAAGCAAGGCACTTTCAAAACATGAAAAGGAAAAAGGTGGATTGAAGAGAGGATGGAAGAGGACAGCATGAAATCAGCAGAGTGTGTTCAACAACAGGCAAGAGCTACAAGTGAAAATAATGTGATCAAGGGTTGTATGTGGAAGGAAGATTGGCATGTATCAAGAACATGAGGACAGTAAGGAAGAGAAAGTAATTTTTTTAATGAGGATTCAGGCTATAAAAGAGGGTAGGTACTCAGCTAGGACTCTCTTCTGCAGTTTTCATTTATTTGCAGTGGCACTGGCACAACCATTTGTTTCAGCAAAGCTTGTTGCAGAAACCACTGTGGTGTTTTTGTGAGCAAAGGTAAAAGACTTCAGTCATCATTATCAAGCAATGAACATAATGTCAACATCTACTAATGAATGAAAATTCAAAATATAAAAATCAAAAAATTCATAAAATGCTTATTCTGACTCACATTTGAAGGCTAATGGAGAACCCAACAATTAGTGAAATGGAGAAAAAAAAGTAGACTGTTTTTCAAAAAAAGGAAAACAAATGGATCTATTAGCACCTTAAGGATGATGGAAAAGTAGAGTGCTGTGAGATTAAGATACAAATAGAAGTATATTTATATGTTGCATATTGTGGCAAATACAGAATTCCTTCTATAGCTCTAAACTCAGACAGGTAAAACAGAAACTCATAGGTAAACTCAACTCCAGAAGGGCTTGAAAACTCAGCTGAAACACTTTGGAAACTTGAATCAATTTGCTTAAAATACTAAATTATCAAGTTTTGATATTGTTTTCTTAGGAGCTAGTGTAATATTTGTCCTCAAGCTTAATGGGGAAATACAGTGACATTAACTTAAAAGGACAGTTGAAGTTATTT